AAAATGTCCAGGGCTATTTTAACGTATGATTTTTTCATTAAATTGACATTTTGAATGTTTACAAAAATAAATACAGATGAAAAGAAAAATTACACCATAATTTTTTTTCAGAAACCCTTACTTGTTAACGAATTTAAAGAGAAACTAGTCTTCTTCATCAAAATAGTCTAAATCGACAAGACCATTGAAACTCTTATCACCATCATTATATTGCAGATTCCTCTTTAGCCGCTTCAATCTCTTACTTGTCCATTATACAAAAATCAAAAACTTGTCCATATAAGAACGCATTTCTCTATGAAAAAATTCGGGAACGAGAATGGAACACAAATTTTATCCATCCTATTTAAAACATTTTCTAATAGATGAAACAATTATTTACAATAACTGTTGTAACTTTAAATAGTTCTTTGACCAAAAAAAAAACTTTAAATAGTTCAATTTAAATAATTCGCACTATTTCCAGATGTATGTGCAAGAAAGCAGAATGACAAAGACAAGAGGTGTAGTTTTCAATTGGATAAACACAAAGTTTACTCTGTTAGCATAGTGGCATTTCCAAAATCGAATAATTGAATGTTAACAATTTAGATGTGATTTTTTATCAAAAAAAGGGCAAGACACAAGCAACGTAACAACTATTCTACCATAGTACTTTACATATATGTCCAATGGTTTCGGTCCTACTGATAAAAATGCCTGAAGTATTGTCAAGAGTAACTATCACATTTAAAACCTCCCACAAAAGATATTGAAGACAAGAATATTTATAAAGAGAGAGAGATATTCAATACTGTTTACGTTATCTCACCAAACTAAAAATTATCAATGAAGACAAATTTCTTCTTCCAGTCTGGTTACATAATCGCTACAAAGAATCCAAAATGATTTATGTCTTCAAGGTTTCTGATGACTTGAGACGGTGTCGTTTTAACCACATAAAATATCACAAGAGCAACCCAATCAAGTTTCTACAACTTCAGCAAAAGCCTAATGTAACAATCCAACAAGGGTTCTTACGATATGCGTAGCGATGATAAGCCACAATTAACAACGCGATTGAACATTTTAGCACCTATTTGATTCAAAACTTACTCTATTGGTGCAGATGCATGGAAATCCTGACCCACACAACACAACAAAACCTAAAGAAATAGCTAGTCCTCTATCAAGATAATACATCAAAACCGGAACCATTAATGCGCTGAAATTGCAATCTTCTAACAAACAACCCATTAAAAATGGTATGAAAGTACCATGAGAAATTGTGGATCACCGTCCTCTTGATAGCGCCTCCTCTAACTCTTCAATCGATGAAGGAAACAGTTCTATGTAACGGCTCCCAAGCGTCTTCCTGTCCTTGACCATTGCAGCTCTCGATTCTTCTGTGCTCCCAAACTCTACAAATGCTTCCCCAGTGGGTCTCCCTTCACCATTAACAGTAACATGAACAGAGTCTTCAGACAGATCGAAATCTTTGAAGAAGTCAAGTATGTCATCTTTTCCTGCTGAGAACGGCAATCCTCTCAATCTCAAGACACCCGTATGCTCAGCGTTCTCTTTCCCATCGTCACTCGATCTACCCTTCTGCACATTCCTACGAGGTGAATAT